AAAAGTTAAAATTTAAAAATTAGCTCGGTGTGGTGGTGTGCAGCTACAGTCCCAGCTACTCAGGAAGCTGCAGAAGATGACATGAGCCCGGGAGGTGGAGGCTGCAGTGAGCCATGATCACACTCCTGCAGTTCTGGGCAACACAGCCAGGCCTGGTCTCTTTAAAAAAAAAAAAAAAAAAAAGATTCATTCACATTGTTGCATGTATCTGCAGTTGCCTCTTTCTGCTGAGAATGTACCACATGACCCATACAAATGTACCCACATGACTCCATCTGCTAGCCATTCTCCAATAAAGGACAACTAGGGGCCTCCGGTTTGGGCCATGACAAATAAGGCTGCCATCATCATTCACGTAGAGTGAGTTTTGGTGCAACAAACACTCCAGTGCCCGAGAAATCCTCCTCTCAAAAACCAGAAAATTGCTATTCCTTTTTCTTGAGTAAACAGTAAGACTGGGATTGCTGAGTCTTATGGTAAATGAAGATTTAACTTGATGAGAAACTGACAAGCTATTTTTTTTTGAGATGGAGTCTCACTCTGTTGCCCAAGCTGCAGTGCAGTGGCATGATCTCAGCTCACTGCAACCTCCGCCTCCCTGGTTCAAGCAATTCTCCTGCCTCAGCCTCCTGAGAAGCTGGGACTATAGGTGTGTGCCACCATGCCGGCTAATTTTTGTATTTTTTAGTAGAAATGGGGTTTCACATATTGGACAGGCTGGTCTCGAACTCCTGATCTCATGATCCGCCTGCCTTGGCCTCCAAAAGTGCTGAGATTACAAATGTGAGCCACTGAGTCAGGCCGAAACTGACAAACTATTTTGTCATGTGGCCATACCATCTTGCACTGCCACCAGCAATGTTTGAGACTTCTCATCCCACCCTCACCAACTCTCAGCATTGTAAGTTTTTCATTTTTGTGGGTGGCATCAGGCTGTGGTTTTCACTTGTCCTTCCCTAGTGACTAATGATGGTCACTTTTCTTTGTTGAGACATCTGCCAAAAGATTTTTGCTCATTTTTAGTTGTTCTGTGTCCCCTCTCATTATGGAGTTTTGAGGGTTCTTTATATATTCTGGATACAAGTGCTTTATTTGATATGTGATTTGCAAATACTTCCTCCCATCTGGTGACTTTTCATTCTCTTAACCATGCTTTTGCTCTTTCAAAAGTAAACCTCTTACATTTTGATTCCGGGTGTAAATCAGGTAATATTTGTCCCCTGCTTGGTCCCCTGCTTGCTTCTCATCCCGATGGAGATAAAATCCAAAGTCCTTCACTGTCTGGCAAGCCTTGCGGTGATCTGGGCTCCATCGCCTTTGTCCCAACTCACTGTCCTTCTGCTGCACTCTGCCTTCTGTCATCGTAGCCCCAGCGGCCACAGGGCCTTTGCACTCATGGCTCTCTTCCATACAATCCTGCCTTGTGCCATTATGCCTCAGCTTGCACGCCACCTCCTCAGGGAGGCCTGCCTTGACCACACTCACCAAGGAGTGTCCGACTCCAATCCCCAGCATGCTCTAACCTATTATCTGGTTTTATTATTTTTCATGTCATTGACTCTTATAGGAAAGAGCCCATCAATCTCCTGGAATGCAGGCACCATGGGTTTTCTTCATCTTTCACCACTGTCTTCTCAGGTGCTAGAAACAGAGCCTGGCACATCACGGGCCCCCACGTATGTGCTTCAAACAAATGGACGGCAAAGCTAGTTCCCTCTCATGTTCCTAATCCTTCCATTGTGAATTGGCAACAGTTTGTCCAAACTCCTTTGAATTAATCTGTCTTTTGGGCAAAACCCATCCGAACTTGGAATCAAAGAGGACTCACACCTCCCTCATACTGGCAACTGTGCTCCTGTTAATGCATTCTAAAAAAGCATTACTTTCTGAGAGAGACATGTCAGTGTTGACAGACACCAAGCCTGCTGTGGTTCAATCCTACGTCCAATCCTGCAGCAGCACTTTCTGTTTCTGCAGTGAGCTCAATCCTAAGCCTCGCATCTTCTCAGGACCTCTCAGCCCACAGTCCCTTGAGCCTGCAAATACCAGGTTCTGTACATGACCTCAAATTACACATGGCCATAAGAAACCAGCAAAGGCAGAACTCTAGCTGGCCTTGCCTCTCACTGGCACCCAAACCCCCAGCTCATCCCAAGAAACAGTTGCCTGTTGCACCCAGCCAGGGCCTTCCAGCCCCAGCCTCCATGTAGGGAAATGAGCACTCTAATGCCTGAAAAACCCTCCTCTCAAAAACCAGAAAATTGCTATTCAAGTTACTTAACGAAAACCATTATTTGCATAGATTTGGCGTTGCAACAACACTTCCACATTTAAATGGTCTATAATTAAAACCATTAATTGCAGAAAATAGTGACTCGTTAAGGCTGTAATTTAGCAGTCTCTCAGTATTTGAGGATCTGACGTAAAGGTTAATGGGATGACCCAGGAAACCACCACCTTGCATGAACCATTCTGGGGTCTAGTGTGGCCCACAGCTCAAGATAGGTGGGATGGAAGCAAGATCCACTTTGAAAACAGCAGCGTCCCTCCACCTCTAAGCACACAAGCTAGGCCCCCCACCCAGTGACACTGCCAAAGATCAAAACAGTCAGGACAGGAAACATTCTCTGGGAATAATCTTAAGGCCAACAGAGAAGAGACCTCTTGGCATTTGAGACAATGCAGGGGAGCCCCACAGGAGCTGAGCAAGTCCAAAGTGTAAGTAAATAGTAGTTTATATGCACTAATGGGTTTAAAAGACGCCTGTCCTGTTGGGCTATAAAAAGCTTCCTCTGTCAGGGGACCCGGGCCTATTTTCGTAGCTGGGCCACGCAGGTAAGGCAGGTAGGATAAGGAGGCGGCAGGGACTGCACTTGGGAAAGGGCACGCAGCCAGCACATGGGCAGGGAGGTTTCCTGGATGGCACCAATGCCTAGCTGTCCCCTCACACATCCTAAGCACAGAGACATCAGCTCAGTTTGCGGATCAATGGGGAGGCAGCAGTGGTATGGTCAGGTCACGTGCTCAGTGGTGGCCTTTTGGAAGTGGAACCCCCTCTCTGGCCCGGGACTGTGTAATTGGTTTCATAACTCTGTCCCACGTTGTGACAATGGGATAAAGGCCTCATGCACAATACACACATTTATGAGCACCCTAAGAAACAGGCTTTCCTGAACTCAGCCTGCCCAGCCCTGGCATGGCGCCAGCCTATAGGAACAGGACTTGACCATTGAATGGTGGCTCCCCCTGGCCCCCACACCCTCCATGGGCCTGTTTGCCTGTCCTCCAGGCAACCGCCACCACCAGACAGGCGGGCCCAGGCCTAGCAGTGTGGGTGGGCTGCAGCACAGTAAGAAGGGGTCCTTTACAACAGGCCACAGCTGTGTCCCTCTAACCCCAGAGGGACAGGCAACACTGTGGCCATTCAAGTGACTCTGCATGGGGTGAGTGGCCCCAGCCTTGTAACCTGGGTGGGTGGGAGATTGCTGCGTGCAGGTGCAATACTGACATGGGGATGAGGGGGGCACGGCTGGGTGGGAGGTCCACCCTGGAGGGACAAACTGGTGTGTGTGAGACCTTAGGGCTCCTCTCTCCTTCCAGGAAGAAAGTGGTATTCCCTGTCTCACCCCCTTTGAGGTTGGGCATGTCCAGGGGACTTGCTCTAATCAATACAATGTGAGAGAAGGTGGCATGCATCATTTCTGAGGGGAAGCTTGAAGAGCTGGTGCAGAAGTCACCACCGTCCTATTCTCCCTTCCTCAGAGACTATGGAAACACGGATGGGGATGGACCCTCCGTGGGCCCAGGTCACTGAGTGAATATCATGAACAGAGTCCCTTCCCATCACTTGCTTGGATATATCACATGGGCAACAAATAAACCTTCTGTTGAGGACACAGAGACCTAGAGGATGTTTCTTATTGCAGCCTAACCTACCCGTATCCTTCCTGAGAGACCCATTCCTTACTGCGTGGCATTTCGGCATGTCCGAAATGTGTGTGTGTGATCTATCTGTGGACATGAGTGTGGTCCTTCTTTTGGGTGCAGTGTTGAGCTGCATGTGTGCGGTATTCCTCAGTGTGGATACGGTGTTAGTTACTCTTTGTAAATGACATCTCTGGGCATATGCATGTGTGATGGAGCTGTGTGCACACACCTTCCCCTTGTGTGTGTGATGCTATGGTCCAGGTCCAGTGAACGTGAGATTTTTCTGTGTATGTGAGTAGTATTTCTGGTGGGCATGTGATCTCTCCAGCATTGTAAGAATTTTCTGCAAAAACCAGTGGGAGAGAAAGCAGTTTCACCTGGGCACAGATCTTGTTCCTTGGAAAAACCAGTAACAGGTGAGAAGGGGCCCCATGGGATTCCAAGGGAGGTGGCTGCAAATGCCAAGGAAGACCGCCACAGCAGCTTCCTTTCCCAAGGGTCCTCGCAGCTAGCACAGGCTGGGGCTGAGGATGCATGGAGGCTGGCTGAGGCCCCTGTCCCGTGCCTGAGGGCCACATCAGTCTCAGGGCCTCTGGTGACTGCCTCCAAGTTGGAGCAATCAAGCACCCACTACTCTTACTTTTCTGGCGTTTCTGGGCAGAGCTGGAGGCTCCAAGGCCTCAGACCTAACTCCTATCTCTACACAGGCCCAGGACCCAGCCCCAAAGACATTATGGGCTCCTAGCCACAGAACCCCAGCTCAGTCAAATATCATTTACAATATAGGTAGGGAAATGGAATCCCCACGAGCAGACAGGATGTGCCATGAAACACCCCAAATGTAAGCTTCTGATACCTGCTCTAGGCTCAGCCGGTGGCAGTTGGTTCTTTTGAGAACGTTGGGCTGGCAGAGGCTAGGGGGCTGGCACTCCATGCCTGCCAGTCAGGAAGTCAGCCTCTGGTTACAGACACATGAGCTTAAGACCCTACCAGCTTCCTTAACCCTGAGACCCTTGGTGCTGACGGGGTAGCCGAGGAGCATCAGGCGGCGTGCAGCGGACGTGGGCACCCACCTGCAGCTCGGTCTGGAAGAAGAACTTCTGCGGGCACTGCGAGCAGTCGTAGATCTTGTCCTCCTGCCCGTGCACGGCAAAGATGTGCTGCTGCAACTTGTTGGCCTGGACGAAGACTAGACACAGACACAGCCATCAGGGGTCAAGCTCGGGACACCAGCCCAGCCTCCTGCAGCAGCTGCCCCCACAACACTCCAAGGCAGGAATCACTGTGGCGCGGGTACTCAGCCAGACGGTGGGCTATTGGGAGCATTCTTAGTGCCTACTAGAGAAGGCTTGAGTTAGATGAGCACAGCTCCAGTACTTAGCGGCTGTGCAACCTTGGGTAAGTCACTTAACCTCTCTGGGCTTCATCTCATCATTCAAAAAATGAAGATTATACTATGTCCCTGGCTAGGTGGCTGGGAAGATCAAATGCGTTAATACTGATAAAGTGCTTAAAAGATGGCCTGTCACAGACAAATGAATGCTGTCCTCCTTGTTCCCATCATCAACAGCCAGACACCTCTGGGGTGAGCTCCTGAACTCCTTCCAGGCCTGTGAGGCAGGTGCTATTATCCCCATTTTAAACAAGAGAAAACTGAGGTGCCAGCAATGTTAAATGGCTTGTCCAAGGTCCCACCACTAGCAAGTGGCAGGGCCTAGACTCAAATTAAACAAGCTCGGCACAGGGTCTTGTACAGGAAGTTGCTCAACCAGCACCCATTCCTATTTTTATGGTTGTCAGCATCCTCGGGCCCCCACACAGAGGCCCGCATATCCTAGGTTGGCAGACAGGCAGCTGGGACCCTCAGTACCAGCCTCGGAGTGTGACAGTGACAGATGGTGGGGGCTCCTGAGATGAGAGGGAAGAAGGCATCAGGGTGCTCAGGGACTTGGGGGAGCCCCAGGGGTGTGTGTGTTTGGGGGATCTGCCCCACACTGGACCCCCCTGGGCCTGGCATGGAGCAGGTCTAGCCCTGGCTTCCCAGTGGCAGGAGTCCCGAGGTGGCCCCGGCCCTGGGCGCACACAGGAGGTGGCCCAGAGCAGCTGTGTGTCTGGGAGGTGAGCACTTCAGAGATACCCTCCCGCCAGGCGTCCTCCCCAGGGTGGGCTTCCTGCCGTGGCAGACAGCAGATGTCGGGGGAGGCAGGGAAGGCCAGGCTCTCCCACGCACACCGGCTGCCATCTGGGCAGCAGGAGGGGGCCAGCAGAGCCCCTGAGACTTGCCTCGGGCTGGGACAGCCATTCGCCTGGGCTGGCAGCCAGTCTGCGGGCTGGGGACTTGGCCGGCAGAGCTGCCCTTGACCCCTGCATCCTGGAGCGCGGATGGGAGCTAGGTAGGCCAGGGAAGAGGGGGAAACGGGAATGTGTGAATTCCACATAATGCTGAATAGAGCTTAAGGCTCAGGAGACAAACACAGGGCCTGGAAAGGGCAAACTGCTGCAGAGGCTGAGGCTGGCTTGGACAAAGCGCTTCCAGCCTCTGCCCAGAGGGTGAGGAGAGGGTGCCACCCAGCCTGCCGATTAGGAGAGGCCAGAGAGCATTGAAAGAGGGCGTGTGTCAGCTCTGCACCAAGGGACGTGGGGCAAGCGGCTTGTTAATCCCTCAGGGAATCCCCCACGGAGTCCTGGACTATACCAGGCCCGCCAAGGAAAAAGAAAGGAACACACACTCGGATCCTGCAATGACAAGGCAGAGCTCTTGTATCCCACCTCTATCCCACGAGGGGCACACGCTGGGTACCTTACCTGTGAAGCACACGGGGCATTTGAAGGTGCCGCCCATGCCCTCAAAGCTGTGCTCGATGAGGTGACAGAGGAGCTTGGCTGGGGAGTCGAACATCTGGTTGCACAGCTTACACTCATGGTTGATGCCTTCCTCTGCAAGGAAAAGCCATGACCAGTCAGTGACCAGCATGCCATGTCCCCCAGACAGGCGCCCACAAGGCCCCCCATACACCCCAGGGCCAACCCCCCTCCAATCCCCAGCAATGAGGCTGGTGACGGGACCACAGACACCAAGACTCATCCTGGCTCTGTATGGCCTTGCCCCTAGAGATTTCCAGACCCCAGAGGGCCAGCTCCAAATATCTGGCCCTTGGAGGTGCCATTTGCTGTGATTTCTCCTGCTGGTCAAGCAGCCAGGTGTGTGGGCCACGGTCAACAGCTTGATTCCCAAGACAGTGTCACTGTGTAGAGGCACCCAGGATAGGGTACCGGATGGAGAAACGAGTCCAACCAGGATTTTTAAAATTCCAATCAAATATTTATTGAGCATGTACTGTGTGCCAGGAAATTTGCTCTAAGGATTTTTTAGGCAACTAAACAAATGATGTCTCTCGCCCAGTTCTGGTGGTGGGGTAGACAGATGATAAATAAAATCATCAGCACACGATGCAGCATCAGGAGGTGATGTCAGTATGTGGCTAGGAGAGGGGTGGCGACAGGGCCCTGAGGTGGGTCCATGCTGTGTTGAGCAGGCTTGAAGCCCAGCATGAGAACAGAGTGCCTGAGCTCAGAGGTCCAGGAGTGAGGTCAGAGAGGCCACAGGGATGCACAAGAAGGGCCCTGTCAGCCTCTAGAGGACTTTAGGATTGTACTTCGAGAGTGACAGGCAGCATGGAAGATACTGCACCAAACGCTCTTTTTATTTGCTTTTCTTTTAAACAAATGATCTATACAGTGGATGACAGACAACGGGCAAATTCGCCATCCTGCTTCAGACCAGAACACAGCTCCTCCATCTCCCCTCGTGGGAGCCGCTAAGACCCCAAGCCTTCACCCAAAGGTGCCAGGGGACACACAACACAGTGCCTGAGCACCAGCCTTGACAGAGTCGAGGAGGCTCCAAGCTCTGGTGCCCTCGTCCAGAATCAAGCAGCACCGGGTTCAAATTCTAGCTCCTTGGCCCCACGTAGCATGCCGTGGGCGCCAGCTCATGTGCAGTAAGATGGGGACTGCCTATCCTCCCTGGCTCCCAGGCTGTAGGAGGACAGAGGGGCCCAGGGGTCAGTGGTGGGGGTGAGGAATCCCCTGGTTTCAGCCTCACATCACCCTGGGGCTGGAATCCAGCCCTGCCACTTACTGGGTGATCTTGCTAAGTCACACAACCTCTCTGGACTTCGGCTTTCTCTGTCTGAAACACTCTATAACTGCTTTCCTCTGACAGTTGCTATGAGAGTTAAATGAGCTAATACACACACAGGGGTCTCAAACAGACCCTGGCATACAGCAAGTGTTCAATAAGTGTTTACTGCCAGGCATGTCAGTGTTGGTGAGAGTATTATCTGGGACAGCCAAGGACATAGGTTCCCCTTTGGGTTTCCCTAGGGAACCAGCCTCACTGAAGGTGCCAGGTGCTCTGATTTGCCCTTAAAGGCAAGAATTAGGTAGTGGAGGGGTTCTGCCGGTGGCAAGTCACGAACACAGATGGGCTGAGGCTCCTGGTGAGTCCCTGGGTCCCCAGGCCCTGGCAGGGGCTGGCAGAGACAGCAGGCATTCCCCCTGGCCCAGCCATCCCCCACACCCCCAGGTACCCCTCCGCAGAAGCGCACACACACACACGTGCGCGCACAGGTGGGCCTGCCCCACATAGCCCACTGGCTGGAATCTACCGGGTGTTTGTCATGCCCCTGGAGCCCTGGCAACTAGGCCACATGCACCTGACAGAGACTGAAACAGCTCTTCCATTTATACTAGCGGAAAAGGAATTCATTGACAAGTTGTGGGACACAGGGCGGGCTCAGCACACTCGCCCCACAGGCCCCACACACGTCCTCCGCCTCCCTTGGGGAGACTTTCATCATAATTAGAGATGGCCTCCAGTGTGTGAGGGCTGCCTTGCAAGACCCCCCCAATGCATCCCCTGCTCCCTGCACAAATATTGCCCAGTGCCTGGCACAGGGTGTAGGTTCAAGTAATGAATGAGACACCACCCTTACATGTGACCTTATTAGAATGAGGATGCCCCTTGGACATTAAGGAGGGAGGGGGTATGTGAAGTTGACAACTGTGCAGAGTTTTCTGTAATAATAGTTTGTAACATATTTGAATCCCAGAAATAACCCAGCTTGCTTGGAAAACTGCATTTCTGGGAAAAAGAAATGGGTTCAGAGAATGAGACCATTTGCTCAAGTAACACAACGGTGGGGGGGTGGTGCAGAAGCGGGTACAAAACCATCCCTGTATGCATGTATCCCCCCATCGTACACCACCTCCAGGCACCTTGCCCTGAGTATTCCAAGTCATGTGCACGCACAGACATGACTACCCCGCCACTGGGCACAATAACCCTTGATTCATGAAACCATGTGAGTCTTTCTTTCTGACCATGTCAATTAGGTGATGGGCATGGACGATGTCTTCTCCTCCTGTGGCCCCCAAAGCATCAGGCCCTTCCTGGGCTCCTGCGCTGGAGGGTCTCGGAAACACTCACAGAGGAGATACGCCCCCAGGCTGGGCCCTCTTTCCTGCCCAGCTAGAGGTCCTGGGGGCTGAGATGGCAAAGAGGATTTACTGCTCTCCGCCGAGCGGGGCCCTTTAACCACTTGGCTGTGAATGGCGACGTGCCCATCTGATACACAAACACCGAGAGGACAAAGAAGCCTCCTGCAACTTATAAATCAGAGAAATCATGTCTGACAGTCACTTTCCGTTCTCCGAGTGCCGAGCAATACATCAGCCGGTCCCCCCTGATTCATAGCCGCAGCTACACCCAGCGCCCACGTTCATAAATATGTGCACAGTCAGGCAGTCCCGGAGCTGCAAGCCGTCCAGGGCCCAAACAAGCAGATCACAGCCCCAAACCAGTGTCAAAGTGAGGTTCCAGGCTAATTAGATCAAGAGCCCAGCAGACCACTGTGTGTCTCGGGACCCTTTTCTCTCTCTCCCCACAGTGTTTTAAGAGTCAAACCTGGGGAAAGAGGGGAGGAGAAATAAAACAAGCAAAAAGTAAAAGTGAAGGGAGGGGGTGGAATAAAGCCTGAGGGGTTCCCGCAGAGCTGGGACTCTCTCCCACTCAAGGCAAGACCTTTTGATTTGCAAATCTTTCTGAAGACAGGCCTTCTCCCCCACTGGAGGGGTTCGAGGTACTCCCTTGGGTGTCCATTACGTGTACCTCTGCCTATGAACCCATCCAGGAAAACAGGGGGAGGGCCGGGAGGTGGAGAGGGCGGGGAGGGGCTGCCCTAGTTAGCGTGACAAACACTCCTTTGCGAGCCAGTGACCCAATGCGAGCCAGCCCATGGATATTGATAGAATTGGCTAGCACCATCACTCTCACCCGGCAGGTGCTGACAGCCTCTCATTCCATCCCAAGATGCAGGGTCCACAGACAGCGGCACCCTCCGAGAATCGCTTCCCTGAATTATATAAGATGGCTTGGTGCTTGGCCGACACCTTGGAGAAGAATGACAAAGCTGCCTGGGAGCCCGCAGGCCCCTCCGTCCCGGCGTGGGGACTGGAGGATTCTGTGAGTTAAGACGCACGATCATTCGCCTTCCTTTTCAGTGCCTTTTTTTTTTTTATAGCACATGACAGGCATCCATAAGAGAGACCCACACAACTCAAGTGAATTATGCAGCCCCGCTCATTTGTAAAGTGAAATGCAGATTTCACCTGCTGAAATTCAGATCTTGCCTCCTGTTCCCCATCAGTCGAGGCTGGTATGAGGAAATCTATTGATTTATTATAATTTTTAAAAATAAAAATAAATAAAAACCCAAACTGCCAAACAAACAACCCAGCAAGCACGAAAATCCCAAAGTCCCCATCTCTCCTTGTTCCCTCCTCTGCTCAGGAATAATAAGTGTTAATTTTACACTTCATTTCTCAAAAAAATAATAGGATGTGCTTTTGCTTAAAACCAAGTCAGCCTGCTGGAACCTTTCAGGCTGAAACTGTGTCAGCCCAAAAGAGGAGCAGAGGGCTTTGTGGAAGAGCATCGTGCCGAGATGATAGCTCTCTGTAATGTCCCTGGTCCCGACTTTTGTCTCCAAAAGCATTTGATCCCTGGCAGACACATACTTATTTCCATATGGGTCTTGGGGGAAGCCGGGAGGAGAGAGAGCTGATTATCAGAATCCTGAAGGTGAAGCTCAGGTGGGCCCCACTGATGTCAAAGGCAGGCCTGGGCACACATTCGGAGGCCATAATTTGCTGCCTGGGAGGGAGAAGCGGCGGGCTGCAGCGGGGTATGGACGGGGCATTGTTCTCAGCCTCTTGTGCACTATGCGTGACCTGCTCCAGCCACAATGGATGGTCCCTGCCTACCCCCTCTCTTAGCAGCAACCCCCCTTGGGAAAGCTGACCCCAGAGTGGCATCATTAATGCATACACCTGTCTAAGAAAGGACCAACTGGTGTTGACAAGGGGCATGAGTAGCCACCTACAACCAGGACGTGGCAACGAAGGACACAAAAGCTAGAGCCGGGTTGGGTTTGAGCCCTCATTCCACCACTCACCCGCTGTGTAGACTTGAGTAAGTTACTTAGCCTCTCTGAGCTTCTGCTTCTGTCACTAGAAAATAGGCAGCATCATTACAGGGCTTTTGTACGGCAGCCAAACAGGCTTCTTCGGCCACAGGACATCTGCCCTTGCTGAGAACCCCAGACCATCCCACATGCCTTCCCTCACTTCATTCAGGGGTCTGTCCAAAGGACACCTCCTCAGAAAGGAATTACTCAAGACCCCCAGCTAACACAGCACATGCCCGCATCCTTTCCAGCACCTGGCCCACCTTTAATTCCTGGATAGCACTTACTACCACCTGGTACATTACAGAGTTCATTGTCTAATTCATTCTCATTCTCTCCCTCCCTGCCTCCCTCTGGCACACAGCCAGAGTAATATAAGCGCCATGAGGGCTGCTCTGCCCGTTGCTA